CTCCCCATGCCACTTCCCTCTTCTCTGCCCCCTCCCTCCCACACACTTACCATCCAAACACTGCTGTCCAAGCTGCCAGCTGCATATCAGCTATCAGATCAGTATTGGCCAATACGGCTGGTTAATAACTGGCTATCTGTACTGGCGAAAAAAATCTTTATTGGTGCATCCCTAGTATTCAACATCCCCATGCTTCATAATGGCGGCAGGGACACTAACTAAAGGTCGTCGAACAGTCTTTAATTCAAGCGCCCCTGCTGCTGTTTAGAAGTGTGGGATGCTGAAAACACAAGATGCTATGGGCAATTTAATTCAAGCAGCTCCTGAGAGCCATTCTAATTAAAATGCCCTACGCCCCCATCCTGGAGTACATGTAAAAACACCATTGTGTTCAGTTGATACATATACATACATATACGTGTGTGTGTGTGTGTGTAATATACACACACATGCATGCACACACGCACTCTCTCTCTCTCTCCCTCTCTCTCTCTATATATATATGGTGGCATTTTAATTGCAGAAAAACATGGTTTTGGGGTTTTTAATCAGATAGTTTGGGATTTTTAAAGCAGAGAAAGAGAAATCCAGGACTCCTGCTCATGAAGCAGCTTGTTTTATTATGGTAGGGCCAGGGTATGAGGACAAGTGAGCCCAGAATTGCATGTCTGGATTCTAATCCCATCTCTGCCACTTTTTACAAGTCACTTGACCTCTGTGACTCAGTTTCCCCTTCATAGGACATGAAGGAAATTTACCTGTCTCACAGATGTAGTAAAAGAGATTATCATGTGGCCTGCCTTTGTAGTAAAGGCAGGAATGTTTAGAAACATTAAGCCTTATTTGAAAAGTTCAGGGTTTTTAGAATGCTCTGAGTCCCATTGATACAATAGGAGCAGACTTAGCCCAGTACTGGACATGTTTAAACTTGCGCTTTAATGCACAGTAGACTATTTTACTGTGCATTAAAGCATCACATATAAAAGTGACATTACACTAACACTAATGCATAGTAAAATAGTCTACTGTACATAACAGAGCGTGTAAATGCACTATTGTGCATTAGCACAGCCTAATGCACATTCATTTAGTACTTCACATTTGAAGTATTAAATTGAATGCGCCTTAGAAAAGGTGCATTAGTGCACGTGTAGATACGCCCACTGAGTACCATATTTACCTGAATCCAAGATAACTTTGAATTTAAGATGACCCTCCAATAATTAGATTCCATGAATGGAAAATTATGAGTTTGTCATAATTTCCCATGTATCCAGTCTAATTAGTGGAAGGTCATCTTTCTCCCACTGCTGTGACAGAAAGTAGCAGATAGGCATGAGGGGTCAGACCCCCCACCTTTTTCCCTTCTCTTGCCCCCCTATACCTGTTTCCCCTACCACTTGTCCCCTAGTGCCTGCCCCCTGCCACTGGCTCCCTGCCATGTTGCCCCCATTTTGCCTGCCCCCTGCCTGTGCCTATGCCTCTGCCTGGTATTAAGTGGCAGGGAGGCAGGCCAGGAAGGAGAGGCAACATGATTTCCCCCACACTCCCAACCTGCACAGGTAGGTTTCCCCTGTGCAGCACCCCTTCCATTGTGCAGTCTCCCCCACACTCCCCTGGCTGTGTGCCCTCTCCCCCACCACACAAGTCACCCTGGTCTGGGGCAGGTGGTGACTCAGCTCCAGCTTCAGCTCTGAGCCTGGAGCTGAGCCACCAGCTGCCTAAGGCTAGTACTCAAACCTAAGATGTGGCTTTTCCCTGCTCATGTTGTTTCAGGGAAAAAACCTTGTCTTGGATTTGTTTAAATATGGTATTTTAAATATGTTCATCCTTTTGACTTCCTTAATTTAGCATTTGATTTTCAAGGGCCCAAAATGCTATTGACTTGTACTGTAGGCACTTTTAAAACTTTATCCCAAATGCTTCAGGGCAGGGCCTATCCATTTTGTGTCTTGTATAAATATGCCCCCTTTTCCTGTACTGAAGTACCAAGCTGAGTGTAATTCTGTGCTTGCCTTTCAGACTTGTACATATATGCAGTGTTCGTGTGCTCCATAGGGATTGTCAGTGTTCTCCTTTTTACACTCGTCATTCTTTGTCAGTCCCTACTGAACAAGAGAAGATCCAGAGGTGAGTGAAATACAAATACCATCTTCTTAGTTAGGGAGGGAATCTGACTGGCAAAGAGAACATCAGGAATATGAAAAGACAGCAGATGGTCCAAAAAGTTAAAACTAAGTCTAGCAGCTTTACAGGACAAAATGTTATCTCTACTAAAGATTTGAAGGAAATGGATTTCTGTGGACACCAGCCATGGAATAAAAAATGACAAAAAATACAAAATGAAACAAAAAGACTTCCATTTTGTTCTGAATTGAAGCTTGTTTTATTTTGCCTTCTGAAAACCAAAATGAATATTAAATTAAAAGCAAACTTGTTGATGGAAAAAATTAGAATACTTGAAAACAGTGCTGAATCAGATTTGTTGCAAAATATATTACTTAGCAAAAGACTGTGTTTTGACTGAAAAAAATCTGTCAAAATGTTTCAACCACTCCTAGTTAGCATCTTACATGGAAGATTACAGCTGCAGCTCATTGTGTTCCAGGGGTGTATTTAGAGGCATATGCATTCCAGAGAAAGTGTTTGTCTTGTGACTTTGCAAGCCTTTGCTATTAGGAGCATTAGGAGCCAGAATTCTGCGAGAAGGAGGCAGTGGGCACCTTGCCCCCCTCCCTCTCCCTAGAGTCATAATTTTTCCAAATATCTCCAGGTCTACTCAGTCAGACAGGTCTGCTCAGCTATAGACAAAGTGAGTGGTTTTCAGCTGTTCTGTGTCAACATGAAGATCCAAGATAGGTAATTAGGTGTTCCACAAATGGACTGGAGATAACGGCGGAGCAGGCTGAGAGGTAGCTGGATCCTCATGCTGAATGAGTAGATATTAGTGGCTCAATGTCTAGTTGAGAGGAGGCATCAAGTGGTCTCCAGGGACCTGTTCTGGGTTCAGAACTGTTTAACATCTTCATTTATGATTTGGAGGTTGGGATTGAGCACTTTTAGCAAATTTGTGGATGACATCAAATTGAGTGGAGTTGTACACACTCTCTGGGGGTAGGGCTAGGATTGGATAAACTGAAAAAATTGTCTGAAATCAGTCAGTTGACGTTCAACAAGAGAAGTGCACAGTCCTGTTTTTAGAACAGAATAATTGTATGCACAAATGCCCCTGGGAAATGACTGACTAGTTTGCAATACTGCAAAGAAGGACCAGGGGGTTACAGTGGACCATAAGCTCAATATGAACCAGTGTGCTCTTGTTGCAAAAAAAAAAAATAGGCAACAGCATACTGAGTTGTATTAACAGGCGCGTCACTTGCAAATCAAGAGAGAGGTGGTTAGCTGTGTCAATCTGAAGTCAGGCAGAAGGCAGGGCAGGGTGACACCTTACAGAATAACTCATTGAAAGAAGTATATACTTTTGTTGGTGACAGTTTTCTTTCTCAGGCCATTTATACTTGTGCTCTGGGAGTGGGGAGCGGAGGGGAGGCGGGCACTTTAATTAGACCATCTCTGCCATTCTAATTAAAGCACCTGGAACATCACATGTATCAGTGTTCCCACACTGAAAAATGGCAGTGGGGGTGCTTTTACTAAACCTCATTGAATAAGCTTTAGTTAAAGTGCCCCTACAGCCATTTTTCAGTGCAGGGATGCTGATACACGTAATGCTAGTGTCTGCTCTGCTCCATCCCACTGTAATTACAGCATCTCAGAGCAGCATCACTGCATGTGTATAGGCTCCGTCAGCTGCTACTAAGGGACTTGTAGAAAGCAGGGGTTCCAAATAGAAGACACTTTTAATACAAAGGAGGGGGCAAGATAAGTGAAAGTGAATTGAATAAGTCAGTAGGGATAAACAAGGCAGTTAAACCACTGGGGGACACAGAGGTTGTATAAAAACTAGTCCTAGTAATGGGATAAGTATCCGGAATCTCTGTTGATGCCATACTTAACACAATGCAAAAACTACAAAACTTTAAAAAACTAACTTGAATGGGAAACTGCTGAAGAAGAAATCACGAGGCGGAGGCAGGCTGCTGCTGGGGGCTGGGGTCTGCACCCTGCTGCTGCACAGCCTCCCATAAGCCCTGGAGTGGGGCAGGAGCAGATAGGACAGCAACGGCAGCAAGAAGTTCATGAGGTATAAATAGAAAGGGATCTGGAGCTTCCTCTGCCCTTTGGGCAGCCGGAGACATTGACAGCAGTGGGCCTGGGAAGGGAGAGGATGTGATACTAACCACTGAGGCAAAGGTGGAGAAGTTTATTACCTGATTCAGGGACTTTAAAAAATCCCTAACCACTGCTCCTGTGGCATAGTCTGCCTGCCTCAGTGGTGTGGGGGGAAGCTGGTTGCAGGGATGCAGCTATCCCTGCAACCTTGGTCACTGCTCCTGCACTTCCCCTGTTTAAAATCTGGATCCACCTATGTTGTTTGGTCCAGTTATAATGTTGTCTGTTTTGATGAAGAGGGTATAGCTGATATAGCTTCTGGGTCTGTAGCATGGTCTGGTTGCTTGATGAGAATTGGAGTTAAGTATCCTGCTGCTGGAAAGATAAGACAAGATAGGCTTGCCCCCCAAGGCTACCTTGAGATGGTCATTTTCTGGGAGGGGTCGTACGTTATCCAAGGTGTTCAAGCGGAGGGCTGTAGATGAAGATCAAACAGATTTTGTTGTCCCTGTTGTGTGGTTGGTATCACAGCAAGTTGGAGCACAGGCTGTTGATTTGAGTAGTTATGGTTTTGGGTTTGTACTGTAAGTGTAGGAAGCTCTAAGATATGCATCCTGGTAGGCACGGTCAGAGTAGACAGAACAACACAGAGCTTGGTTGTAGATAATGGATCTACTGGTGTACTTAGGATGAAAACTGGTGGTGTGGAGACAGCTATACAAGCATTAGGCTTCCAAAAAATGCAGTGGTGCTGTGGCCATTACAAAGTTTCACAGTGATGTCCAAGAAATGAATGCACTGGGTAGAGTATTCAAGTCATTTTGATGGAAGGGTGGAAATGGTTCAAGTCCTGGTGGAATTTCTTTAGAGGTCTTTCCTATGTGTCCTTATGATGAAGATATCGTCAATGTACCTTAGATGCCATAATTACTCCAATCCAATAATTTGTTTTCCCCCATTCGACATGAGAGGAAAGTCCTTCGTCTTGTATTTGAGTACAAGGTGGGAGGGAGGCAGGAAGCTGCTGTGGCTCTGGTTCTGTCCCCAACCCTGACCAGAGCCTAGGCCATAATAGCTATTACTAGAGCTGGAGCAGGGCTGGGGTTATGCTGAAGTTGGTAAATGGTGCGGGAGGGGAGGAGGGTGGAAGGGGCAGAGGCTAGGGATGGTCAATTATAAGACATTTATAAATTTTCCACGTATAGAATATAATTATGGGGGGTCATCTTAAATTCAGAATCATCTTGGATTTTAGTAAATAAGGTCTATCAGGAGGATGAGAAGGCAGCTGTAGAGAGAGGAATAAATTAGCATACTGGGGGGCCATGGGTGTGCCCATGGCGGTTGTGTTCATTTGCAGGTACAGGGAGTCTCCCAATCTGAAATAATTGCGTGTGAGGACAATGTAGAAATTCAATGAGAACAGAAGCATGTCTTAATTAGGGATAATGTTTCTTATGGCTTGTAATGCATCCTCTTGGGGGATGTTGGTATACAGAGATGTGACATCCATGGTGTTTGCTGGAAGCTTGTCAATGAAGCCTAGTTTCTTGTAGAAATCTGTGGTGTCCCTCAATAGCTGGCAGCTTCCTCTTGTCTCAGGATCCAGGCCCATCACTCACTTGGTCAAAGTGTACAGGAGCTAACTCACGTTGCTTCCCCCTTATCTTACCTTATTATCTCATACTTTTAAAAGTCAAAAGCTGATGTTAATAAACACTGTTGCCAGCACTGCTGTGCTCTCATTCTATTTTTGTTAAGGCTGCAATGGATTAACAAGTGAGTGAAAACGTCTCCTCTAGTGCCTCTCTTGTATAAAGCAAAGAGTAGAAAGTACTGTAAACAAAAGGAAAAACAGGTTTGCATCTCTTCCTGAGATATGATAGTGACTTCCTAAGACAGATGTTTTTGAGCAGTCAATGAACTGGGTATTATGGAACTTCTCCAGCTGCTACTCTTAACTTTAACATGTTCAGAATATGGCCCATTGACTTAAGCAGGGCTTTGCTAGGTCAGAAGAGATGTTTGGTCCTCCAAATTCTATATCTTGTGTTCTGGATTCCTAATGAATTAGAAGGTGAAACCCAGCCAATATTTTCCTATTTGGGAAACTGTCAAGGAGCAGTTTCATCATGTAGACAAAAGATTTTTGATCTCATCCACTGTGACTTTTACTAGTGAAAAGTTTCAACCAGTCTTACTATTAAAAATTAACATGTCGACACACATGTCTGTCAGTTTTTGAAAAGTGCCAACATTTCAAATAAGTTTATTGCATTTTGAAGTCAAACCTTTTTCAATAAGTTATGTTTTTTACCAGCCGTACTAGGAGGTCTTATACAAAGCAGGGATTGTGCAGCGGTTCTTAGCCAAATAAAACAACCATGGGCATTTCCTCATTTATTAGTAATGGGCTTGTTGCCTGGTTGTGAACCTGCCTTCACTCCCAACCTCTAGTACTGTTGAGACAGGATCCAAAGTCTGTAGATCAGACCATCTCTCATATGTATTCTTACGCAATAGATTCATATCAGATTTGCTGGCATTCAAAAGATGCTTTTTTATGACTCAAGAATGTACAAAGGAAAAGACACTTAAAGGAAAAAAGGGATCTTTTACTTCAAAAAACATGTCTGACCATAAACACATCCCAAGCTGTGGCTTTGTTTTAGAGGTAAAACCTCTCAGAATATAGTAATTTTCCAAGGAAAGAATACTGCAGATTTTTCTCACAATTTCAGATTATGGAAAGGACTCCATGTCGACAAAGCAATGTGCCTGTGGCAGGGATGCCACCACGAACTGAAACTTACCTCCAATGCCAAAGCAGAAGGAGAAGCGGCAGCTACAGAATGCTGCCAAAGATCAGACATGCAATGGCGGATATGCTGCCACCAGAAGACAAGCTGCACTGGGGCAGGAGCAGGGAGAAAAGCAGCAACAACAGCATGCTACTGGAGATCAGCTGCGCTCCCCTGCACTGGTGTGGGCACGTTTTGTAGATACGTGCTGACATAGGTTTGTCAGCCGGCCCTTGGAGAGGGATAAAATCCCCATCAAACCACATTCGAGGAGGAGCAGAAGTGAGGCCTCCTGAGAGCCAGGAGTAGCGGGAAGCAAACAAATGCTCCAGCAGGGGCAAGTAATAGCAATCCCGAGAGTTGGGATGCCCAACTAAGGCTGGCTTGAAGGAGCTAGGATACATACCTCTCTCAAAGCCATGGATCCCAGATGAAGCTGACAGAGACTGAGACAGCAGTGAGCCTGTAGAGAGAGAAATAAAGAAAGGATACTAAACCCATGAGTAGTCCCTGGGGGAGAGACAGTGTCCTGAGGGAAGACACACCGGGGTGAACACAATAATGAGTAAGGCCGACGTGAGGCCTGAATAAAGACGTTACACCGTCTGAACCGAGACTGAGATTGGATAAGGGCTAAGGCCCAGCCATGGCTGATTGACTTTGCTTTAGCCTTGGCCAAGGACTAGCATTATCGCTGGTTGGCACAAGGCAGGGTGTAGGGGAGGTTGAGCCCTGAGATGGCGACCTAAGCGAGAGACTGAAGAGGAAACCAAAAGAGGCAGGATTAGAGAACTTCCTCCTACCAAGAACTCTTAACAACAAGACATGGCAGGTGAGAACCCCTGGAAACCTTTTAAGGAATCTTACTGGAGGGCAAGCTGCTGAACTGAAAGAAAGAAGCTGCATCTGATCAGCTCAAAAAAGTAAAGCGTTCAAGTGAACATCATGGGAAATTACAGCGCCGCTAACATGCTTGGATGTAATAGCTCGCACCTCACACCAAGAAGTCACAAACACTGTGACACTGTGATGGATTACCTAACCACAATGATTTATTCCAGGTCTTCAAAAGACATTGAGCTAATCATTACTCTTGGTTACATTTGTTGATGCTGGGGTAACTGAATGACCAGGCTGGAGAACAGCTCTCTAGTTTGAGCTAATCTGAATTAGGTATTGGCATATGGATGTAGTAGTTCCTCCTGGGTGTATATAAAACTAGAACCTTTTCTTGGCTGCCCTATAATCAAATTAATTGCAGGTTTAATCTAGATCTTATTAAATCTTGAACATCATCCAGAATACAATGTCAACATTAAAAATCTGAGCTAGAGAAGTAAAAAATCTTAGCAAAGAGAGAGAGATGCTGCAAAGAACCTGCAATAGTTTTAGGGTAAGATTTTCTTTTTGGGTCAATACTATTGAATGTGTGTGCGCTCCTGACTTCACATTAGTGGGTTAGTCTTAGTTGGAGCAGCAGACCACACACGAGTCCTAGAGAGAGCTAGGATACAAACTGGCTCTGAAAATGACAATATGATGCCCAGCTCTTCGTTTCACGGTGGAAAATATAATCTCCACCAGCATGGTCCTCTGCACAGCTGACTTTCCTGGTGGGCTGTGGGGGCAGAATCTTAGTGTCCCCTTGCCCGAGAGAGTGTAGTAGCGCTGTGAATGCTGCATTCCCTACTCACCATGTCATTAGTAACATAGCTAGGAAGTCTATAGGGGTGAGTGAGGGCTCTTTACATATGTTTAATCTCTTGCATAAGGACATACCAAAAATTAAAATCTAGTTCACACTTGTAGAATTTGACACCTGACTTGTCAGTCACTAATCTTTTTTCCCATTTACATCCAAAATAAGCCACCAGTAATCTTGTAACCAACAATTGCACAGACCTTGTCAGGAAATCTTCCTTCTCCTCTGAGCCCCAGAGAGATTCAGGTCTCTCAGCCTCTCCTCGTAGGGCTGGCCATGGAGGCCCTCAACCATACGAGTGGCCCTCCTCTGGACCCTCTCCAGGTTCTCCACGTCCTTCTTGAAGTGCGGCGCCCAGAACTGGACACAGTACTCCAGCTGCGGCCTGACCAGCGCCGCATAGAGGGGGAGCAAGACCTCTCTGGACCTGTTAGTGATGCCCCTGTTGATGCAGGACAGGGTGCGGTTGGCTCTGCCTATTGCTTTGTCACATTGGCGACTCATAGTCATCCTGGAGTCAATCCTGACTCCAAGATCCCTCTCTGCCTCTGTGCTGCTGAGAGGGTCAGCCCCTAACCTATAACCATAATGCTAGTTCCCTCTCCCCAGGTGCAGCACTCTGCACTTGTCTTTGTTGAACCTCATCCTGTTCAGATCCGCCCACTTCTCTAACCTATCCAGGTCTGCCTGGATGCAGTCCCTGCCTGCCGGTGTATTCACTTTACCCCACAGCTTGGTGTCATCAGTGCACTTGAACAGGGTGCTCTCCACACCCTCATCCAGGTTGCTAATGAAGATGCTGAACAGCACCGGCCCAAGGACTGAGCCCTAGGGGACTCCGCTGCCCACACCCTCCCAGGTCGACATTGACCCGTCCACCACCACCCTCTGGGTGCACCCCTGGAGCCAGTTTACCACCCATGTGACTGTGCTTATGGGAAGCCTCATTCCTCCACCACTTCAAACAATATTTGATCACATCCCCCTACCCAAAATCCATCAGTGGGAGGTGAATAATAGGTCCAGATGCTGCTGAGTCGAACTCCCTTAAAGAGGCACCCACCCACTGGGCGCATCTACATATGCACTTTACTACAGAGCTGACTAAAGAGTTCTGCAGTAAAGCATCACCAGTCTACATATGTGCCCCTATTAGGGCACAGTAAACTAATTAACTCTGCTGTAGGATAGTACTGTTCAGAATAAGTGCTATCCTATGATGGAGTTAGCACACCAAAATGAACTTGTAGACGTTGACCAGGGCTGGCTGAGGCATGAGGGTGCTACAGTACAGGGGCTGCCTGCTGGCTTGCCCTCCACTGTAGCACCCTTGTGCCCCAGCCAGCCCCTCTGCAGTATGTTGAGCCAGAGTGGAACAGCTCTGGGCTGGCAGGCTGACCCCCCTGGGCTCCCTGCCAGCTGGGGCTGCTCCACCCTGCCGTTTTGGGCACACATGTTAACGCTGGACCTGGGAGCAATACACTTAGCAACTTGTATATAAACTGAGGATCTTGATGTGTAACAGGTGAAACTGGAAATGTTCTTTCGACATTATTAGCATTTAAAGCCTAGCCAGACATATGGTTAGCCTTATCACACTAATGTGAAAATGTGTGATATTGGGCCAACAATAAATCAAACTCTTTATTTCAGTGGAGTTGCAGCTCAGTAGAAGCTGGCCCATTGCTTAGAGTAGGCAAGTGTCATTGTGTAAAATGTAATGTTTGTAGATTGTTTATATGCTTTTACTTGAGTCTTTGATAAGGACACAAAGTGGGTCACAGCTATCTTTTGCAGGTAACCTTTGGTAGAGGGCTGGACCCTTGTTGGCAGACCATCCAACTTATATCTAGAGCTGATTGAAAACTTTCTGGAAAAAATGCTTTTCAGATTGGTTTTTAATTAAATGAAATTATTTGTGGAAATAGGTCTTGTTTCATAGAACATTTCAATCTTTCATTGAAAAACCATATTCCTGAAGCCTAAAGCTTCCTTTTAACCTAAAGGCAAAATATTGTGGTTCAAAGCACAGTTCTGGTGCCTCACTAGAGTATCATATTTTCAGGTGCATTATATTTTCAGGTGTGTTATATTTTCACACTCCTTGATAAGCTGGGCCTTCAGGCCAGTCACCATTTTCCATGAGACACCACAGGCAACAGCACCAATAATGGAAGCACAAGTCACCCAGGTGACAGCTCCTACAAGACACTGTGACACGATTTTCTAAATCAAAACCATTGTTGGTTTTGGGTCTCAATATATAAACTTTGAACATTATGCCAAAAAGTCAAAATGTTTTGAGGGGAAAACACTCTGTTTTCTGACCAGCTGTCTCTGTTTATATGCCAGTGCCCAAATAATATGTTTTGGTGACTACAGTTTTAGACTAGATTAAGTTTATAAGCATAGCAGTAGTTTAATGGTACTCATTCTCTAGTCTTAGCCATCAATTTCCCTTCTTTTTCAGGGATACAATTCAGTACTTGAAGTAACCATAATCAAAGCATTCTAGGTTCTAACATAAATAAAGCTATGCCCTGCATTGTGATTGATTGTGGATGGACAAATTCATTGTGGACAAGGTTGTATTTCAGCATAAAGCACAAAATATAAGACACATCATGGCTCAGGAGCTAGAATGGAGGTTTTCCCATCTGCTAATAAGCTGAGGGGGAGAGTTGAACCTACAACACAATGTCAAGTCCAGTTTGGGAACAGCAGAGGAGTCACAAAACAACAATGCCTGGCCTTCTCCTGGGGTGCTATACCCCATATTGAGAGCTGATGGTTTAAAGAGGGATATATATTATCAGAGACAATTTATTGGACTAGATGGTCCTCAAATCTGATCAGGTGTGGTAGTTGGTACCTGCCGAAGACCTTCCTCCAGCCCTATATTAAGAACTCTATCAACACCTGTACATGAAGAGGGGTTTTTTTTATTTCAGGGTTTTGGAAAGATGTATTTCTAAAACAATAAATATGTACAGAAAATTTGGAACTGAAGCCTTTAGAAGTCAAATTACTGGACTTCTGTGTCTGTCCTTGGCGAATTCTCCTTTAGTTGGCTTGATCACTGCAATTTGAGTAACCCTCCACTTCCATAACAATTCCCTAGAGTTGTTTGCTACACATTTTCCCCCAGCCTAAGCATCTCATTCCAGTTAGACTATGTTCTAATTTTCAGTATGATACATGGTTATAGTTATAGCTAGCAGCTTTTCAGTGGTGATAAGTTGGCATCTATACAATTCCAAGACTGTTTAGGTTGGATCTATCTGCTGTATCCTCTTGTAGCTCATAAATTTTCTCTATATGAAGCCACATAGCCTTATGTCCTGTTGTGTTTTTTTTTCTTTAACAGTGAAACATTACCTGGTGAAATGTCCTCAGAACAGGTATGAAAATATACTTTTTAATTATAAGTCATGGGAACAATGCTGTTTTATTTTCATTAGATGCTGGAAAGAAGATGTGAAAATTTTTCAGAAGGGCCAACTTGAAAATTTAATTCTCATGGACACTTTTGGAAATCTTACCCAGTGCCTTTTGCATGTTCTCTTACACACTTACGCTACTACTAGGCACAGTGTAAATAATTAATAATAGTGATGATGATGTGAACATTTTCACTTTTACCTTTTAATCTTTCACTTGCAACCCAAGGCACATAAAACACCCTGTTCCACAGACTCCTCCATGCCCTAAGTACACATCTGTGTTTTCACTGATTAAGGCCACAAATATGAACCTCAGAAATAAATCCTCAGAACCTGGGGCTTAGAATCAGAGAGGAGTATTGGCTACCCTAATGTTTGGTCTGGCCAGTGGCATTTAGGGCATAATACCAGAAGGTATTGTACCCTTCCTTCCCTGCTAAAGCAGTAAAATGTCCTCTCTGTCCACTAGGGAGAGCAATATACAGTAAAAGGTGTGTTAACTGGCATTTTACTAACCAAAATACCCTATTACCCAGAATTTCCAATACCCCCCAATACAAATACTCACTTTAGAAACCGGAATATTTGCCGAGTCTATCCAGAAGGCGCATGAGCATCAAGTATTTGCGCTACAAGTATGGCACTGTCTTCTGTATAACTCTCAGATAACTGGAATTTTTAGATAACCAGCACCCCCTTACCCCACTCATGCAGGATAATAAAACTTTTACTGCAATGCATTTCCTCTACCATAGCAAGCCACTTGTCTCTGAAGCATAAAGGCACCGAACTGTTCCAGAAGAAAGGATACCTAGTAGTCACACCATTTCATTCTATGCACTGTGAAGTAGGGGAAAGACATAAACTATGCCATTATGAATCCATTGGTCTGTGTTGGAATTTGAACCTGTAAACTTGCAGTCAAGAACTGTAATTGTAACATTGCCACTTGATCTAAAACTGAGAAGATTCTGACCGACTTACAGGGCCCTAAACCTGATGTATTAGTCAGCAATAGTCTATAAATATTTCAATAAGTTGTGGCAATTGGTACAGAATTAAAGAAAGCAATCCAGGGTATTAGAGGTCTGGTAGAGAAGGTTTTTTCCTTTTTGATCACTGGGCTAAAACTTAACTTGTACTCTGATAACTTTACCATTCCAGAAAGTTTCCATATAGTTCCCAGTACAGGACTCAAGATATCAGCCCTTAAACTCACAACATTTCTATCCTTCATTTATATTTATCCTCTGTTACCCCCATAGAACAGGGATGGGCAAAATACAGCCCACAGGCCAGATGTGGATTGCCAGGCCATTCTATCTGGCCCAAGGAGCCCCTAAAAATTTTAGTTAATATTTATTTGCCCCGGCTCCCTGTCAAAGCTTACAGGAGACAGGGACAGTAGGACCCAGAAGGAGCCCTCAACAGGCTTGCAGGCTAGAGCAGCCCAGCCCCGCCCACCCCCAACCAGCTCCCTGCTTTCCTGCCCCTGCCCCGCTCCAGCACCACCTGGCTGTGGCTCCCAGCTGCACCACTGAAACACAGAGCACAGGACCATGCTGGTGATGGAGGGGATGGGGTGTGCGTGTCTGCAGGCACAGGGCAGAGTGTATGTGTGTGTTCATAAGGTGAGTCCCACATGCACACCTTACCATACACATGCACCAACACCTTCCCTCACACTGCCATACACAAACCCCAGCCAACCTCCCCCCATACCCACCCACATCCCACATATCCCCCCATACCCACATGCTCCCTCACCCCATACCCACACACCCACTGCCCCCCACAAACCTATACCCACCCGCCACAATATACAAGAGTAAGACTTAATTTTAAGCTGTTGTGTAGTCACTTCTGTGTACACTGCACAAACACTTGCAAATCAGGACAAAAATACTTTTTGAAATCAAATTAATGTATGTTGTAGAAGTTTGATTTTTAGAATATAATTTGGTATTTTTCTGGTTCTGAGATAGCAAAACCCCTTACTGAAAGGAGTACTTCCAGGGGCAAGGGGAGCCAGTTGTGGTGGCAGAGGTCATGAATTAGGGGGCCGGACTTCCAGTCACAAGATGGCATCCAGGGGACCTGTCAAGGGGCGGGGCTACCCATGCAGCCCTTGGCAACTTGCCAAAGCTCAGTAAGCAACCTTCCACCCAAAATAATTGCCCACCCTGCCATAGAACCTGGATTCTTCACAGGGATAGATTCCTAACCCTTCTGTGAAACAGAGGGCAAGGCATAGTGCCAACTTATTGTTAGTTAGTTTATAAGGTGCCACTGGCCACGTCTACATAAGACAGTGACAGTGCAGTCATTACTGCACAGTCATTTGGTACTTTTATAAACAGATACTAAATGACTGCGCAGTAACCCAAGTTACTGTGCAGTAGCACTGATTAACAGCTTTTTAGTGATGCTGACTGCACAGTAGCCTGAGATCACTGAGCAGTAGTGTTGTGTCACAGTTGCTGCCATGTGACACTAGTGTGCCATAGTCTCGGGCTACTGCACAGTCAGCATCTCGTGTATACGCGGCCACTGATTAGTTAGTCTTTAAGGTGCTACACTGCAACAGAAACAGAAAAAATGGGACAAGAGATTCTTATGAGCACTGAGGTTTAGAAGTGGATGCTTCATGGCAATGCAAAGAGAGCAGATGTTTCTAGTTTGCCAATGACATAAAGCATTTGTTTCCATCCTTTGTAGTTTACAATATATTGGACCTTAAATCTATTATCATTAGTCTGAGTCTCAATGCTTTTTGGCTATGTCCTGGACTAAGTATAGCATGTCCTGGATCCTGACTTAATGTCATTTTCAATCCTTTCTCATGGGATAATTACTGCTTTCATTCCATACAGTGCACCCTAAAGTCAGTTGTAAGGGGTTGCCCACTAAAGCCATTGAGGAGGCATCAGTGCAAACCAAGGCTTTGATGTTGCTCTTTGAATGACCCGTGTTCTGTGACCCTGGACAGTCACTGCAACTAAACCATGGATATAAACAGCACAGCTCAGCAGTTCTAGTTCTCTCTGATGACCAATCTGTCTTTCTGTTTCACAGCTAGCTGCCAGGAAAAAAGGGATAGCTAAAAAAAGAAAATTAAAATAGACGGGTGAAGAACACAAGACAAAGAAAAAAATTAAATGGATCCAAAAAAAGGCTCCCAATTTAGAGGCAGAAATGGGAGCGTGGTAGTCAAATACAAAGACATGTTGCTGTAAATCACACAATATGACTCCCTGACAGTGTGCAGTATAGCCGAGATAATACTGCAAAAAGCAAATATTAAACACATTCAGCTGAATGACAGAGGGTTGTGGGTAAGAGGGAGCAAAACATTATGTTGCTAACCTGTAAAAGCAGAAACACAGCAACCAAAGTGCACAAGTACAAATCCATTTTTAGTGTATTGACTCCAACCTTAAAATGATGTATTAAGCAGATGCTTGTATGCTTTACTAAAAAAAGAAAAGTCTACTTAAGTATGATCCTAACTTTGAGAACTGCAGGACAGAGGAATAAAGTTAAGGGGTTTTTTTTTGGGGGGGAGGGGTTCAAGAATAGGCTGGATAAATATCTGTGTAGGGTGTTAGATAAATAAAACATCTACTACAGGGGTGTCCAACCTTTTTGAATGTGGGGCCAGATCATGAACTTTTTACCACCCAGTGGGCCAGCAGGAGCAGGTGCCTGCATGGCCTGTCCAGTCCGGCCACAGCCTGGGGGCACAGGGGTCAAGGGGTGTCACATGACCCCGCCATGTCCTCCCTGCCACCTGGGTGGCCTCGAGGATGCTCCCACACCTGCGCACCTGGGCTCAGCAGCCAGGGGGACATGTGGGGACTCTCCAGGGGGGTGCAAGATGTGCAGGGACACCCCCCTGCTCCCTCTCTCCCAGGGCAGCCCGAGCCCAAGCAGCAGCGGTCCCCCCTCCCTGGGGCCTGCGACTCACCACCCCCAGCATGATGTCTGCAGGCGTGGGAGGATGCGGGGAGGTGGGAGCGGCGCCAGCTTCCCGCCCTGACAGCTACAGCAGCAGTGGCAGCAGCATCTTCCACGGGCTCGACCACAGCATCCCTCCATGCTGGCATCTGCGCCCCCTGCGCCCGCCTGCTGCACCACGACCTGCTCCAGCCCATGTGACTGGTGGGGACTGGCGCAGGGTGCGGCCAGCATGCAAATGAGGAAGGGAGGGGTGGGGCCAGGAGCGGAAACCCTGCAGTGTGGGAGAGGGGAGGAGCTGGCATACAAATGAGGAAGGGAGGGGTGGGGTGAGGAAGGGACACTGTGAAATGAGAGGGGAGGGGAGGAGCCACATTGCGTCAGCAACGTCAAGCTGACACGGTGTGTGTGGGAACCTTGTCCCTTCCTCAGCCCTTCAGCAACCATTAGGAAGCTGCTGAGGGGTTGGGGGAGGGACAAGGGGTGGGAACGAAAGTAAACAGCATTTACTTTCGTTTCCCGTCACAGCACCGCGGGCCACAGAAAATGGCTTGGTGGGCCATGTGATGGCCCACAGGCTGTATGTTGGACAAGCCTGAATTCTACTATAACATATTTTAATTTTATTTTTTAAAAATTGAAATATTTTGAAATTCTATTTGTGTTTGCATAGTGTGCATAAGGGCTGATTGCAAAATAGCTCAAAATAAAGTCTTATTCTTATATATTGTTTGTGGGGTATGGTGGGGGAATGTGTGGGGTGTGGGTATGTGTGTGTGGGTGGATGTGGGTGTGTGGGGCGTTGTGGGTATAGGTCTTGTGGGGGGGTGTAGATGTGTGTGTGGGGTGTGGGTATGGGTTGTATCAGGGGTACGTGGGTATGGTGGGGTGTGCATGTGGGCCCCCCTCACATGCCTCCCGTACGGCAGTAGGCCCTTGGCACACTCATGGCCTGTGGAACCTGGAGCCCCACAGCATTACACAGCTCTGCCCAAATTCCA